AAGGCTAATTCTGGAAATATAAGAAATTTCTTGAATAGGATTGAATGGCGGTTTGTCTTTGCGGGGATGAACGTAGAGAGCATGGTTGAGGCGTTTTATGAGCGCGTTAATTATATAATTAATAAAGATGTTCCTATGCGCGCCTTACCCAGAGAACGCTTTCCTTATTGGTTCAAACGCTCTACCATTAGAGTTGTTAAAGAGAAGCTACGTTTTCACAAAAAATGGAAATCCTCAGGTCATCACAATGATTAAATCCGGCGACAAGCAGTTGGTTTCAAATTACCGCCCGATTTCTATTCTTTGGGCTATTCCCAAGGTTTTTGAGAAAATTGTCCAGGAATACTTTAGCCAGTCGATTACTCACTCTTTTATTCATGAACAACACGGTTTCTTGCAGGGCGGCTCTTGTCTGACCTGGTATTTCTTTTCAAAATTGTTAACGGCATGCTGGATGCCCCCGATCTTTTATCCGAGCTGAATTTTAATATTCCACAGCGCTTCACCCGGAATAATATCACTTTTCGTTTGCGCACATCTAATACGAATACTTATTCTAATTCGCCAATCATACGAGTTCTTAATACTTACAACCAGAGCTTCAGAAAATTAGTTCGTGATCAGAAATATCAGGTGTATGTACAATTCCGGAGTCGATTATTATATCGTCATTACTCACTAAGATTAGATCAATAAGAGAAAAAGAAGACTGGGTTATGCGGGTTGGTTCAGAGACTATATTATGTAAACCAAATATTTCTATCGTGTGCAGCAGCTCTCGAGCATCCCCGCCATCCGGCTTCAGATGGTCAATGTTCAGATCTCCCATATAGAGCAGCTCATTCGCTAAGGGGGTTATAGAAGCCAGAGTGTCTTCAAATAATGATAAAAAATCCTCATTATTAGTGTTTGGTGGCCTATAAATTACTCCACAGCAAATTGACTTATGTTCACATAGATCTTTAACCACAACTGCTCAAGTGTATTCAGAACTGGTAACAATTCCCATTTCAAGAAAGAACGTATATAGAAACAAACTCCCCCTCCCCTGTCCATTCGATCCCTTCTGCAAATCTGGAAACCGTTGAAAAGGAAATCTTTATCAGGCATAATCGGATTTAGCCAGGTCTCTGTAACTGCGAAAACATCAAACTCATGTTCAAGAATCAGCAAAGCAAGTTCAATAAATTTGGGTCTTAACGAGCGCACATTCAGATGCCAACACCGCAGATTCCGTGACATCAATTCTAATTAATACTATGTATAACTAAAAATAACAAATAACATAATCCTAATTATTTGTTTGATAAACCTTAATTAACAAAATAATGACGGAGAAACGACAAAAGCAAGAAAAAAATAAATAACTAGACTTATTTAAGTTTAAATATACGGAAAGTAACAATTAAAAACAAAGTATATTATTTAAAGTAAAAGATCGTATGATGGAAAAAACTAGAAAAGATAACTAGACTTATTTACGCTTAAATATATCAATAGTTATAATAGAAGGTGAAACTATATTTCCAAATAAAAAGAAACTGTGTGAGCAGACTAAGCACTAGGTATAAGAGATATTTTTAACAAGACCAAAAGTAAACAATGCAAAGATACGAAGCGCACTCGAGTATTATTTGTAGGATATTATTCGAGATCTTTTGACGATGTAATAATTTTAATTTCGTTATTATTATTTACAAAAATCTTACCGTCTTTTTTATATAGATCGCGCCTAAATACTGATAAGTCCTCTCTGATGGTGATACCTGTTGATTTGAGCTTTCTTTTCATATCATTTACCTTTTTACGATCCCGATAGCTGACGAACTTGACTATTATCGGTCTAGTTGGCTCTTTATTTTTTTTACGGTTACTTGTCCGGCGGGTAGATACTTTACTAACACGGTGAGCTCTGTCGATGGCATCAGGGGAAATTGCCAAATTCATTTTTTCAGAGAAAATTTTGAACAATACTCTTTCAATCACTTTTCTTCCTTCTTCCGGAACACCCAAAATGCGGAGGCAGTTACGCCTGGAATATTGTTCTAAGTCATCCGTTGTTTGCATGGACACTTCTAGCGTGTTGTTCAACACTTCGATTTTTTTAACCAGAGACTTGTTTTCTTCTTTCAATTTCACTACCTTCTCGGAGACCCGCTTGATTTCACCGGCTACATGTTCGATAACCAACGCCGAGATCGATTCAGAAAGCGACTTTATAACTTGAGAATTTCCGTGATTTTACATTTCAGTTGTTTCATTTGATCATTAGAGAACATTATGATCGATAAATGAATTAGATTGATCTACGTAATAATCTGAGTAGTAATCCAACGGTAAACACCGTAGTAAATCCCGAATATTAGGTGCACAATACTTAAACACACAGGACCGGCCTCCCCACACGTCTATTCACGTTGGCGACACATTGAAGAATGGATCCTTCCAGCATTCGATACACATTAATTTGAATTTGTCAAATGTTAGATCCGTACCGACATGTTCATCATACACGTGTTGTAAATTTAAATTATCCTGTTTGAATAGAATAATAAAATTGGCGTTATCTCGTATTAGATGTTTTGGAATTCGTGCATAAGATTGACATATGTAGAAACTATCAACGCTAGTTCTAGACCAAAATCCCATAAGATTTAACATAATGGTCCGAAATCACATTTTATCTCTATCACTAATACCTCCTTAAGAACCCTCGTTTTGGCGTGAAATTTTGGATGAGCTAACTGGTCGATGGACCTTATCATTATAACGTCATCATCGACACATCAAGACCTTGATATGTTAGGACATAAAGCGTTTGGCTTGGAGGTTATAAAATGGTAAATATCTCGTTAACGACGCTTCAAATCGAAAAATAAACCGAAAAATTTATCACATTTTTGGCTGATACCCCAATTTTCTTACTTCATCGCAAAACATTAAAGATGTTGGTAGGCAGGCTCCAAAATAATGTTGGCTTATCAATTCTTGGGAATTTATATTGTTTAATAAAGAGAGTTTAATAGGTTGATATTCACGCAATACGGAAGCGATAAGGAAAAATTAAAGATATTTACAGATTATATATTTATTTAAAAACCATAAATTACATAAATTTAATAAGAAGCATTTATTATTATTACAGTTCAAATATTTTAATTAGCATGTAAGTGTGGTAGAGGAGCGTTATAGTTAACGATTAAACAATATTATTATTTTTTACAAATTATTTACCCAACGCTTTATGAGAACCTTATGTTTCATATAACCACACAACATTTTCGGCTGACACCCCAATTTTTGCTTCATCACAAAACATTAAAGATGTTGGTAGGCAGGCTCCAAACTAACGTTGTCTTATCAATTCTTGAGAAATTATATTGCTTAATAAAGAGAGTTTAATTCGATCTACACCTGTTAACACCATGATGAGATGCGCCAGGGTATGTCCCCAGGGTACACTGAAAAAACTAACTGTGAAATTACAACATCTTTACATTTGAATCATTGTATATTTTACATAAATATGCACGTAACTTACTTTTTTACGTAATTATAAGTTTTTAAAAGCAAAATTTTTGTAATTTTACCATTACAAGTTAAAAATAAAATTACATATGAAAAAAACAACTCCTGTAAATTTGTATACAGTAATTATATTGACATATCACATATACCATTTAAATTTCCCAAATTTTATGTAAAGAATGTACATCGCGCATGTAAAATCACATACGTCTTGGAAATTTACGATACGACAGTACCCCTGGCCAATGAGAAGTGGTTGATCGAACACCATGATACACATGCACGTGTTCTACGACTTTGTTAGCAATTCGGCTCTTCGCAAATAATCTTGTTTGATCCTGTTGTTTTATACGTTATTTTGTGTTTGGTGGTGTGATTTTCGAAGGTTAGCAGGTATGTATAAATGTTTAATTTGCGGGCACACTACAAGTGAATTGGAAAAACATTGTAAACATCAGCGGTATCATCGAAATACGCCTAATGTAACGTTTAATTGTCCATATAACTCCTGTAAAGCTTGCTTTAAAAGTTATAATCATTTTAAAGTGCATTTATTTCGATTACATTCTAAAAACCCCGTAGGTAAAGAACGTAACAGAACATATTCATGTAACATAAGCAATTGTTATTATAAAGATTCACAAAGAAAGCTGTTTTTGCGACACACGTATAATCACATAAAGAATGGTCTTTCTATAAAGTGTCCTTTTTCTATGTACTGTAAATCTGATGTCGTATATAAGAAAGTTAATACATTGCAACAACACATCTTTAGAAAACATAAACTTCTTTCCGAGTCACTTCGGACAAACATAGAAAGGGACTCATTAGAATCCACTAATCAGCATTCTGAACAGTTTATATCGACCAATTCAAATTCTCCACCATTAAAAAAAGAAAGAATAGATGATTATGAAACAGTAAGTAAGAATCTCTTGGGTTCTTTATATTTATCTCTCGAGAGTAATTTCTTTGTACCAAATAAATGTCTACAAATGTTTATTGACGGTGTATCTGATATTAATATACTAAATAATCAATATTTGATAGAAAAATTGAAGAAATCCGGGATTCACGTCAATGAATCTCTTATTGAAAATAATTTGTTTTCTAATGTTCATAATTGTTATGGTGATCTAAGAAGCAAATTTTCCAGAATTAAATATTATCAGAGTCATTTCAATTATGTTAAACCACTATTAATTCCATTGCCAAATAATTCAAAGTATTATTACGTTCCATTAGTGGAAACTATAAGAGCTTTATTTCGAAATGATGAATTTTGTAGTCTTTTCAACAAAGAAAACAGCACAATTTCTTTAAATGACATACATAAAGGTCGAGTCTTTCAAAATAATGTATACTTTAAAAATAATCCAGATGCCATTCGATTAATCCTGTATCAAGACGCGTTTGAGTGTTGCAATCCCTTGGGATCATCAAGACTTAAACATAAAATAGTTGGTATGTACATGACTATTGGAAATATACCTGCATGGCAAAGATCTCAAATAAAACAAATTTTTTTAGTAGCATTAATATACGAAAGAGATATAAAAAAGTGCGGTTATTCAAAAATTTTAGAACCAATAGTAAACGATATAAAGCAAATTGAATCGGAGGGGATTTGTTTAAAAATGATGGAAACAGAAAGAACGATTAAAGGTTCAGTTATGTGTCTTATAGGCGATAACCTTGGTAATCATCAAATCGGAGGGTTTATAGAAAATTTTCATTTATCTAATTATTTTTGTAGATATTGTTATATTAACAAAGTACGAAGTGCAACTGACATTACAAAACGTTTTCCTTTAAGATCAAAAAGCTCTCATGATTATGACATAAATACGATAAACATAAATGGGGACATTCACCGTGGTGTAAAATATAATTCTTTATTAAATAGTCTCAATGGATATCATGTTTGTTCGCCAGGGCTTCCTCCTTGTATAGCACATGATCTTTTTGAAGGTTTGATGATATGGTCTGAGATTTAATGTTAGTCCTAAACAAATTTGTTACAAGAAAAATATTTTCTTACGACAACTTAAACGAAAGAATTAATCAACTTACATTTAAAAATGAAAATAAATTTTATTTGCCACAAATAAGGAAAGGAGATAGGGTAACCGGCACTGCCCACCAAATTATGATGTTACTAATTGTTCTTCCTATTGTTCTGCTAGACTACCACTCTATATTGATGCATCATCCATATTGGGAGATGATTTTAAATCTCCGCAATATTGTGCTATTATTATTAGCATTCGAATTATCAGAAGGACAAATTGCATATTTAAATACTTTGATATTACAATATGTAACAACACGGATCGATTTATTCCCAGATAACATGTTGAAACCTAAACACCATTATTTGTACCACTATCCGTACTTAATTGCACAGTTTGGACCGTTGCGTTATTCGTGGTCACTGAGATTCGAAGGAAAACATCAATACTTTAAAAGAATTGTTAAGCGCACAAACAACTTTAAAAATTTATTATTTTCTTTATCTCATAAACATCAATTATTACAGGCAATGCATATATCACAAAACACATTATTTGAAAAAGAAATAGTTTGCAATGATTTCAAAATATTTAGTAGCAGTAATTGTACCAATATTTCTCACTACAAAGAATTAAGCGATAAAGATATTAATTACTATATTTCATCACCTGTTACATATAAAGGAATTGTGTATAAAAAACATGATGTAATAAGTATTGGAAAAAATCAGTTTGGCGATTTGCTACTGTGCGTAATTGATCACATTCTTCTTGATCAAAGTTTTACTAATATGGTTTTCGTTGGTCATAAAAGAGAGGCTGTTTATGATGAGACTATCGGTGTTTATCACGATAATTTATGTGACGATATACTAATATCTGTAAATGTAAAAAGCTTAACTAATATAGAGACTTTATTACAATATGTGTGTTCAAATGAATCCATACTATATTGCTTCAAATCTTCCCCACTAGAGGAATTGTAACATTTAATAGGTACTAAACAAATTAAAGAATCAAATGCTTAAAAGTGGTAAAAAACTCTTTAAGTTCCTGTAACTATTGTATTTTTATTTATTTATTGTATTTAATTTTACATGAAGAAAGCGGCTGTTTCCGTATTACGATGTCATTGTTTAAAGTTTGGACACGCAACAGGGATAGAAAAATCCTTGTGGCAATTTCCGAAGGCAATATCCTTGAAGTGTTAATAGAAAAAGGTAAAACGATATTGCACATGTTATAGTATCATCACTTACCTAAACTTGTTTTATGTAATTACGGTTTCCAGCCTCTCAGAAACTTCAAATTCATGGAAAAACTCTTGTGTTAGAGTCAGATGGTACTTTGATAGACGATAGTGAAGTATTGAGGTTATTACAAAATGAAACGTTAATTCTTTTGGAAGAAAGTGAACAGTGGATCCCCATCTCAGTAGAATTTACAAATGAAAATCGTATTTCCCTTCAAGCATCACCGGTCTCTTTACCGTCAACTGTTTCAATTACGTCTGATTTGGATATGTCGCCACTACCTTCTAGCATGTTTATTAACCAATCTGGGAGTGAAAATAGTAATCAGAGTAACCCCATTTACGTCGAAATTAAAAATGTCGTTGCAAATACTGAGCACTTATGGGATAATTTTGAAATCCCATGGCATAAAATTCCAACGGACATGCTGGATATGTGCGCTAAAGGTGAAAGAAAAAAAGTGTAACAACTGATATTGTACATACAGTTGTGAATGAACTAAGGGATGTAAAAGAAGCTATACCTTCAAAGGTTTTGAAACGCGTAGCGAACGAAATGTGCGTAAAATATCCGTTGATGTTTCGTGATAGTGACCAGGATGGTTTAGTAGTGGCCGATGGCTCCTGTACAATATTTTGTAAGCTACAAGAACGAGCATCTTATTTAAGAAGACCCCACAAACGCAATTCTTCTTCACCATTAGTTCCTCCGCGCCTGTCTAAAAGGAAGACAAATATTATGTCAGGCTGTGTCCAATGGGAAGAAAATGTAGATCCTAATGCGAACATACCTACGGATAAGGACGTTTTAAATAATATGGTGGATACTGGTGAAGAATTCTTCCGTCTACTTGAACAAACTTATCCAGCACAAAGGCAGTTCCTTAATGATATTGTTAAGCCGCCTACAATCAACGAAATACTAAGTGAATGGCCAGTGATTTTTAAATTAGAATCAATTAAATGGCATTTTAAAAAAATAACCAACAAAGATTTAAGCTGTTTCTCAGATATACTTACGTCGAAGGCGCAAAAAATTATCGAATTTGGCATAGGTATAAAAAAGATTGGGCCGAAATTGAATATGACCGAAAAAGATTTACATATCTCTGCTATGAATTTCTTCTCTTCATACTTCAAAGAAGATATTAAATATTTTTTGGATACATCAACGGTAAGTCGTAAATATTCTTTGTGTGGATAATGTTTACTTAACTAAAACGAAAACTGATTGCAGGGGTTAAACCAACACGATAGCGGTGTAGATATAATAAGTGAAGCACCATGCATTCACATAATAGGTAAGAATAATTATTTTATTATACCATTTAAGTTAAAGGCATTGTTCATTTTAGGAGAAAGAAAAACGTATAGTGTGTTCGTAGAAAAAGAACAAGTGTTCGAAACACCATGCCATTTAACTGCGATGGAAGTGGCCTTCGGATTGTTTTATATTTTAAACTTAGAATATCCACGGGAAATATCTCAATTACTAGAATTTATACAACGTTTCTTTTTTAAAATTCATCCCGACGCCGGTAGCAGATCAAAAAAAAATATGGGAAAACGAAGGGTGATATCTCTCATTAATAAAATAAAAGATTTGTAATAATCATTGTTCACGCTTTCATATCGACAATATAGATTTGTTAATAAAAAATTGGGGTTTATTATACAGTTCCTTACTTAACATAAAAACAAATATATTTTGAACAAACTAATATATTTTGGATCATTAATTTTTGTCGATAAATTCGTCAAGCATCGTCGCCAGTTTTCATGTGTCGGAAAAATTACCATCTTTTAGAATAAAACAATTTTGTTTACAGATTAAACAAAAGTTTATGGATGCCAAATGAGTATATGTTACGGTAATAGTATAATCTCAACCAATGTATACTTTTACTGGGAGCTATGTTTCAGTCAAGTATACACAAACCGTAACAGAACCAACACATAAGTTATAACATATACTTACCTTATGCAGGTTTTTGGTTAGTGGATCGGTGTTACGAAGATGCCCAAACAGTTGCACGATCCTCTGCAATTCTGCCTGAGTGTCTTTGTAAGTCCGATTCCGAAACAAAGTTTCAACTTGTCCAGTCGCGGTATAACGTAAAATTACATGTGATATTACAGGTGACATTACATTGGGGATGTAATATCACATATGATATCACCTATAATTTCACATTGTAATCACATATAGTAATCTTACGTTGAAATATTACAATGTGTAAACACAAAACATCGTTGTATTTTTACAAAGTGTACTTGTTATTTACAATGTATATTTACAATTAGTACAGTGATTTTACACATATATATGTAAATAAAATTACATGATGTGATGTAAAATGTCAATGAAGTAGTAACAATACAATTTGTTAGCGTTTTTACATGTTTATTACTGGTAATAAATAACCACTGATATCCATGTAAAAATTTTTTTCAGTGTAGAGTATCAACTGTCCCCGGAATAATACATATTTTATCGTCGTGAGAACTAAGTGCAGTTTTGGTTTGCGCAATTGTTGATACTTGGTGGTTTCGCGATTGAAACAATTTTTGGGTGACGACTATTTCTTTGTCCTCTCGCAGACATACTAAGTAATCATCGAAACTGATTACGTTTTTAACAATGGATGTTTTTATGCCTTTAGCTTTTTTAACTTTATCTTCCTCCTCCACTCGGCATGTGTACATCTACCATCTCAACCTCACAAATTCAGTCATTACCTTACCGGCGTTCTCATCTTTCATGATACTGAGAACTTTTTTATTTACACGAGGAATGTTATAGACATTATTTTCAGGATAATCACTAGTATCGAAATATTTTGAAGCATCACATCGAATCACTTCATATAAATCCTTGCATTCGACTTCGTATATAAGGGAATCTGTATCGGTGTAGCAGATTCTGGCCTTGTTACCAAATCGTCTCCTCATATACGAATAATGAAAAACATAAATTTTTAATTTTGATATATTTAAAATACACATACCAACGTAGATGGGTTTATTAAAATAAATTTCCGTTTTATTGAGCTCTATAGCAACTAAATTTTCATCGAAAATAGTTGAGGATTTGAAATTTGGTTTCGCGATCACAATGGAATCGAATTTTGCCACAAGCTTCACAATGGAATGTTTTCGAATATTTTCCATCGTCTTGCCAAATACGGCGTTGTTCATTAATTTGAATAAATTTTTCTCGAAGTCATTAATCACCACGGTTCTAAATTTAGTGTTTAAATCTATATATGATTTCAACCAAGCCGACTGTTTAAATTCCAAAACACGATGAATTTTTGTTAAAATTAAACCATTTTCAATCGCTTGTTGTAAATTACGATAATGCAACACGTATCGCTCTTTATTATATAAAGTGTCCATTAATTTGGTTAGTTTTGAATTTGGAGGTGTGCGATGTTCATGAATGAATTCAGAGTACTCGAGATCAACTTCTAAAATGTAACCTTCAGGGTTATCCTCAGGTACATTGAAGTTGATGTTGTTTCCCTCAACCCACTTAAATCCGCCATATGGTAAGTACTGAGACATTGCTCATCCATATTGATTATTGATATCATCATAAATTATAAATTTTGATGGCTCATCTGATTTATAATTACGTAGATATTTATTATTAGCTGAGGCGTGACGTTTCGAACACTGGCTTAGACCTCCTCGTATACCTCGCTCTATAAACATTGCCATATCAATATCCGTTAATAGCTCAAGTTTTACCCTCGTATACTTCAGCATGCAGTCCCATGTATACCCGGGAAATGTATAGTAATGAGCCGGATCTAAGCTATACGAATTCAAGCAGCTAGCCCGAAATTGCTCGAATACGTCTGCTAATAACAAAATATCTGTTTTCAAATATAACTCACTGTAATTTCCTAAATTTTGACAGCCGAAAGCGTTCCACACTTCATTAGCATACGTATAATCAGTATCTGTAATGTGACTGTCGGTCATAGAGTTATAAATTTTAGATTCATCCGGTAATGCAGTTTGATTTAATTTTGTAATAGAGTCCAAGTAATCATAAGGAAACACTCCTTTACGCGTTAATAAATTGAATTTAGATTCATCTAAATTTGGAAATTGTTTTTTTAAATTTGAAAAGGAATCTATATAGCTTGCCAATTTATCTAAACTCGATGCTATGAATCGAAATGAATCAATAAAACGGAATTTAATTAAATTTTGGTCTATATTTTTAGTAAAAAAAATGTATCGCTCCTTATTTATAGATAGCAAATCGATGCGTCCTTCGAAATCTTTTGTTAGATTCTTTATAATAAAGTGACTATCGTACCCACTTAAATTATGAAAGACTACTGGAATCACGTGACTATCCTGATAGTTACTGTTGCAATCCTCATACGCAGCTCCTCGATACTTTCCAGTAAGGTGACAATGGTCTCAAACCCTGACGTCACCCACGTCAAAGGGGTTTTCGCATATATGGCAGCATGGTAATGAACGAAACTCCAGTTCTTGCGCTTCGGTAAGAGGTTCCATGGGTAAGGGACATGGGAATATAGTTTCGACATCTTCAGCCAGCTGCTTCATTTCGGTCGCAAACCACTGCTGACAGTTCTCGCCCGTATATGATTTGTAAAAGCTCTATATGGCTTATGTTGTATACCAGTATTTGTTGTCGGTATTAGAAGACATTATAGATCCGCATACACTACAAATGGAACCGGTTCTTTTTTTGAAAACTCTTGAAATATACCGTTTCCCCTTCTTTCGGCATCCGGATGCGGCATTCATTCATTTTAGTACAATTCTCCACATGTTTTTCTAGACCAGTGGAAGTGTAAAAATAATGAAGGCAACGTTCACAGAAATATTTTTTCCTATGATGTATCGATAATTGGGATGACACTAGCCGGGATAAATTTTGTATCCAAACGTAGTGAAATCTCGATTTGAATTCATCATCATCACCATCTTCTACGTTCACATATTTATCTTGGATGAGTAGTAGGTTAACATGTCTGTCTCTTTTCCCCCTAGTTAGACAGCAAGGAACTACATTATACCGACACATCGTTTTGTTGTTCAAATCAGAGGATTTGTTTCATGACTACGGGCATTGTTATGTTTTTCATATTTAAAACTTCTGAGTAATGTGGATACATACAAATTCGTTCGGTGTTATAATTGACTGGATGAAGTGCTGAAGTCACTGCCCACACAAAGCATGCTTCATCATCGTTCTTCACATTTACGCAAGCGCGCTTCAGCCTAAGGGCCCTCGGTAATTCAATGTATGACGACCCAAGTTGTGGAGTGAATTTATTAATGTGCACCTGCAGGTTTACGATAGCATTTAATGCCCATCCACTATCTTTTTCTTAAGATTCTTCAAGATCTTTTAGAAGAACGGGGTCTTGAATGTTATTCTTAAACCATTCTTCTAAATTGGTGTTGGTATAAATTGGGACATTTTTGGTATTTATATATTTAAATTCAAATACTTCCATCCCCGTTTTCTTAGTTACTAATTCGCCACAAAACACAGCATTAACTTTTAATGTTGATTTTTTAACATCATTAGTCATTCTCCTGATTATCATTTTTTTAGCATCTTCCATAAATAGTCATGGGTCCTTGTGTGTCAGGTTAATGATGACCCCTGTTCTCATTCTGTTGGAGAACGCCGTCTGAAGGTACCCGCGAGCTTCTAAAGTTTTCGCGATTCGGGTTAGTTGGTCTGTACCCGGCCCCAGTTACGTCCCGGAGCGATTTTAGAATGCTTCGGAATGCATGCATGTGCCTAGCACAAGTGGTTATGTGGTGCTTCTTGCCACTTGTGTTAGCTACCTTTAGCGCAGCGTTCATCACCTTAATATAACGACTACAATCCTTTATTGCCCAGCTCTATATCTCTCCCTACAACACTTAGAACTCTCTGACGCATTTCCTCCACAGGTCTTGAAAAAGTCATGGTTTTGCCTGATGTTGAAGCCATTCTAGAACAATGAAGATTGCGGTTACAACTTCTCGCATGAGATGCAGGATTACCTATATGTTATTGAGTCCGCAAACTATGGAAGTTGATGTTCAACTGAACGATTTGTAAATGGGTAGGTAGATTTGATAGGCGGCCGCGCCCCCTCCACTTCCTTAATAAATTATTATTTAATTTCCACTCATTGCTTCATCGGTTTCAACACGTTTGGTACACTTAATTGGATATGGAATGTCCAGTTCAAGGTTCGAAATTGATTTTTTCGATTAATAATAAGTGTAACCTGTTAGCTACTAAATAGTTGTCAAACTAAATAAATTATAAAAAACATGTAATTATATATTCCTGAAAAATTATTAGGGGGAGTGGGGGAATGTGCAATAGAAGTATCTAGAAGGATGATGTAATTCACGCAACGCTTCAAACGGAGATCTTTCACTTTCACACACTTACCTACAATTAGTCCTAATTCGAGGTCACCGTACTTTTACTTACGTAAAAATTATTTAAATTTTTAAATTAACCTTCCCCTCTACAAAAAAATTAATAAACCAAAATGTTCTAATGAACATTGTAACAACGTTAATAAAGTTTTTCGCATCAGCATAATAACCAGTTAACCCAAGTTGAACAGGGGTTGAACTAGGGTTGAACAGGGGTTGAACCAGGGTTGAACCGAGGTTGAAACAGGTTATTCAACCGGTAATTTTCCACGGATTAAACCACGGTCCGTGGTTAACCCCTATCCATTAAATAGAATGATGACGTCACATGACATGATTGTCTAGATGACGTCACCATCACCACCAAGCACCACACGATCCGGCGACATGACGTCATCAGCTCGATAAGTAAAAACTGCCGTTTTAGCAGTTTTCACCCGTGCCATGTTGTTCGTGCTTGTTATAGGCGACAGGAGGTTGTAGGGAGGAATTTTTCGGTTTATTTTTCGATTTGAAGCATCGTTAACGAGATATTCACCATTTTATAACCTCCAAGCCAAACGCTTCGTGTCCGAATGTATCATAGCCTCCATGTATCGATGATGACGTCATCGTGATAAGGCCCATCGATGTAGATAGTCTCGTTCAAATTTGTCGCCAAAAGAGGGTTCTTGGAAATTCTGCGCTCTGATTGGTTGAATTTAAAATGTGGGCGTGGCCAGAACCTCGAAAGTCTGTCTTCCCGCAAAAATTTCCCTAGATCAGATAATTTTTCCCTAAATTTAAAACAAACTAACGTTTTTGTTTTTTTAAGCGTAAAAAGCCTTAAATGTTTATTTTTATATTAAAACAAATACATAAAAATCGTAAATTTCTAAAATTTTAAATTATTCTGAGTCACTAGACTCATTGGAAGCAGTCTTCGACTTATGGTCATAGAGTTTTTTATATGACATGTTCTTTAACATGGCCTCATTTATTTCTGAATTATAACAAAAAAATTATTACTAAACATTTGTTTGGTATAATTAATTTACTTAATTTGTTTCTGATTTTTGATTTAATTATGTTTACAGTTGAAAACATGCGCTCTACTGCAGCGCTGGAATGGGGCAGTATAAAATTATAATTAAGAAATTTAGAAACTAGTGGAAATGCTAAGTTATTGTCACCTGTTTTTAAGGCGGAAATATTGTCCCAGAAAATTAGGGCTTCGTTGTCCATTTCGGCCAAATTATCGAGATTTCGTAGTTTCCTCCACTCCCTATCTAGTTCGTTAAAATTGTTTTCAACAATGCCGGACAATTTAAATTCGGTTACCAATGGGACAATGGAAGGATGTTTTTTATTTTTTATGTTTTCCGGCAACAATATTTCTAAGAACTGAAAATCTTTTCTTTGGAAATCAAACCTTTTATAGATCTGTTCTACAGCTTCTATCAAAAAAAATAAGCAATTTTTTGTTATGGCCTGTTTTTCAACTTCCGATAAGGAAGGGGAACTTAAACTTGTAGTGGCTCTACCGCCCAAATAAATGTCTTCTAGATTTAAAAAATTATCTTTGCATTGATACTGAATTTTTTCCATTGCTGTTATTCATGTTAAATAATCTGGCTTTAAAAACATTTCCATTAAAGTTTTTGTTGTAATCGATATAGACTTATATAATAAATGAATTTTTGGTGTCTCAGACTGCATCTCCCGATTTAAATCATTAAAATATGGTAAAACATAATCAAGAAATTCTAAATAAATTTTGATAGTTTTATTTTGGAGTTTTTGGAAAATATTTTCTGTTGACTTTAATTTATCTGAAACAACTGCGTCTATGAAAAAAGATTTAGAGCATTCCATTGTTCCAAAATACGAGAGACTACTTGGTGAAGGCTCAGCCACCGAGTTTGAGAGGGACGTAACAATTTATGGGGTGTAACCCTTTCACTGCTACAGACGAAAATGTATCGCCGATCTAAACCGCTAACTGACAAAGAACTTTTGGCTATATTGGAAAATAGTGATAGTGAAGAAGACTTTATTGGTCATTTAGAGGATCAGAGCGATGATGGATGGATCGATACCGACGAGGAAGCAAATGAAGGTAAGAATAGAAAATATGATTCATTTTCGTAAAAGTAATACGTGTATTACCGACAATTAGTGCATGCTACCGACGCCGATGCTCAAGACACCCAGTCAGAAAGTGACGCCGAAGATATTGTTGAAGAAGTTGATCCGACAGAACCACCTACCAAAGTTGCCCGAGGCAATTTTGTTTGGCAGCAAAAAGATTTCAAACCTACTGTTTTTAAATTTGACCATAAAAATTCTGGTTGCAAAGTAAAAGACTTACCTGAATCACCAACTGAACTTGATATCTTCCAATGTTTTTTTACCGAGGACATTGTAACAATTATAGCTGAGGAAACAAACAAATTTTACGAATATGTAAACAAACAAGAAATTCAAAATCAGTCTCGCCTCAAACGATGGAAACCTATTGATTTCAAAGAAATGTACTGCTTTATAGCAGTAACGATTCTAATGCCACAAACAAAAAAATTGAATATCCAAGCTTATTGGACGTCAGATGCATATTTATCAACTCCAATTTTTGGGCGCCTTATGAAACGTGATCGTTATTTACTTATTTTGCGGTTGTTACATTTCGTAGATAATAATATCGAACCAGTTGAAAGGGATACTTTACGCAAAATCAGAGTAATTTTTGATCACTTGAGAACAACGTTCAAAAATAGTTTTTATCCCTTCCAAAATTTATGTATTGATGAAAGCCTCATGTTGTACAAAGGCAGAGTGTTCTTCAAACAATACATCCCATCGAAGCGTCATCGATTTGGAATTAAATTTTTCATGCTTTGCGATTGCGAGACTGGCCACATTCTTGACCTTATTATATATACAGGAGCAACTACAAATGTGGGAACGACTGGAGTAGAATATCTTGGAAAATCTGGGGATATAGTTATGACCCTGATGACTCCCTACTTGAACAAAGGTCATACGTTATTTGTTGACAACTGGTATTCGAGTCCAACATTATTTTCTTATCTTCATGGTTTCAAAACAAATACTTGTGGGATAGTCAAGGCGTCCAGGAAACATATGCCCAATCTGGCGCAAAAACTACAATCAGGGCAGGTGATACTTCAATCCACAGACTCTCTTTTAGCGCTAAAATGGCAAAATAAGCGTGAGATTCGCATGCTGACGAGTTGCTTTAAAGCAGAAATGAGGGATACTGGAAAAATCGACCACCGCACAGGAGACAGAATTCAAAAGCCAAGTTGCATACTTGAATATAAGTTAAATATGGGATCTGTTGACAAATCAAATATGCTTCTTTCATCAATTGAGTGTGTCAGAAAATGTATGAAATGGTACAAGAAAGTATTTTTCATCTTTTGGACCTTGCAGTTTTAAATTCGTACCACTTAGATAAAACGAAGAGCGGTGATAATATATCAGTTGCAACGTTTCAATTGAACCTTGTAAAACAAGTAATAACGAAATATCACACCCCTCTTGATCGTTGTGGTGGAGGAAGAAGACCTACAAATGCTGAGTCCGATCTGCGTCTAACGGAAAGACATTTCCCGTCTTTAGTGCCATCCACGGCAAACAAAGCGCGTCCAACGAAAAGATGCGTGGTGTGCGAGAAGAAAAAGAAACGCGCAGAATCTAGGTATATGTGCGCCCCATGTCATGCTGCACTTTGTATAGTACCCTGTTTTGAAGTGTATCACACAAAAAAGAATCTTACGTAGTAAATTAGTGTATACCTAAAAAATAGCTTTTATAAATCTTATTTTGTTATATTTTCCCAGAAGTTTGCTTCATTTTTATAGCCTTTCTAAATATATTTTTGTAAAGTTGTTTCTTTATGTGTTTTTTAATCTTAACCTATTAACTTCCAACACTATAAACACTATGAAATGAATCAATTTTTAATAATCGAAAAAAAAAGTACTAACAATAATGAATAAATATTAAAATACGGTATGCTGCTCTAAGCGAATATATTCGTAAGCGTAAAACTGCTCCTAACGAATATTCTCGCGAGCGAAGTTTTAGCGAGCATAGATCAAGCAACGTGTAAACCGCTATGCGCAGCGAAAGGGTTAATGTTCGCAAATTCTTGAAATTTTAAAAATTCACTTGTTTTTTTAAAACTGTATTGGAAATATTTATATAGTTCTCTACTTAGCTCCTCAACTTTTAAATGTTATTTGGGGAATTTTATTTGCAGCATATGATGCACAAAGTGCAAACGAGTGGCATATACATTTTTGAATAAATAGATTAGGAATGTCATTTAAAAATAACATTTTTACAGAATTGTGAGCGTTAGCTCCGTCTGCTGCAAAGCCAACCATGTTTGTTTTGTAATTAATACCGTTTTCGTTGAAATATTGAACAATATTTTGATATATATTCTTTGCAGTTCCATCGGCTAAAGGTATTAAAGTCAAAAAACAATCTTGTATTCTATTCTTAATTTAAATTTTAGTAACCAAGCACAAATGTTTAATTGAGCATCTGTCAGTTGAGTCGTCAATTATCAGCGAAAATTTACTGGTCTTTAGTTTGTCTATTAATTGATTCTTTAAAGCCTCTCCCGTTACATTTTTAATTATACTAGAACATTTAGTTTTGCCACAAGTTATTTTAGCTGTTATTTTTGAGTCTGGGGAACATGCCTTAATTAATTGTGTTAAATGATCAGAAATACGAAACGACAAGTTATGTTCAGCAATAAAAGAACTTATTCTAATTTCTGAACTTTGCACTGATTTTTCGAAATTAACATTTGGTTCAGTAAATTGTAATAATGTAGGTTGGTTAGCAATGGTTTTACATTTTTGTTTGTGGGAAAACCCATTTTCGTGTTTCACAATTTCAGAAAGACCGGCTGTATAGTCTTTTTTACACAAGGATTCTCCATCCATTTGTCTCGAAAACTTTGAGTATATTTTTTCTTTTTGCTAGATGCGGTAGTAATACTAGAAGTTGCGGTAGTCTTCTTCTTTTTAGCTGGAAGAGATATGGAAGCAGACGTCGATGGTCCAGGTTGAATTTCATCGTCACTATGCGTGCTGCTATCCGAATCAATCATTTTTCTGTTTGAAAACAAAAACACAATGATATCAAAACCGTACAATTTTAAATTCACACGGATATGCAGCGGAAAATGTTAGCGAATTTGGATAAAAATTAAACTTACCTTTAATCATTTGTAAAAATGTTTGAATTTAATCAATATTCTTTAAATGCACAAGCACGGAAACACGGTGTTGGCTTAGCAAGTTCAACTGTTATAATTGGTTATAATGCATCAATTCGCAGTTACAGTTCGGTTTCTCTCAAAATTCCAACTAATTCGGGATTTCCCCGATTTAAAAAATTAAAGCTAGACTATTGCAGTACTGCGCTGTATATCTGGGTATCTAAGGTTAACTTTTAACTTTCAATTTTGCAGAAATGGGTGGTTGCTCAGTATAAAAAATCAAAAGTTTTAAAAATTAAAAGTTTGAAATATAAAAAATGTTGCCATTAGTTCTACATGTCTATTTTTTCCCCTAGATAACACCNCCCAAAAACAACATGCGGTACCTGGGCTTAGCCTATTGCCGCTCCAAACACTCTCTATCATTTGTGCTTGCCCACTGAGCCTTCCCCCCGAAGGGAGAAGTTACCGTCCCTGCTACGTGGAGGCGGGGCCCCACGCACCAGGTAACCACTGCCAGCTCCACATGAGCAAAGGTCGCTTTCCTCCAACCCCAATTTGTGGAGATTCTGCCTTATCGGGCCATGTCCAGTGAGTACGAAGCCCATGTGCAATCCAATGCGCAACCAGTCCGGCCACCTATGCCTCACCTCCGGCACAAATCGGAAGGTCACTCTTCCGTGATCACCCACTTCCCATTCTCGCTGCCATTGTTGCATTACTTGTAATTTCATATACTTTTTCCTTTTCAGGTTCGAGCTCCCTGCGGCAGCACCGTGGAAACCCAGCAAGGACCTTGTTTCGCCTGATCTCTCCCAGTAGTCAGTATATCGCGCGGCCGCCACCAAATATAACGATGGACAACCCGCCAGCACCTGCAGGGACACGTTCGACGCGGTCCGACAGACCGGCAACATTCCAAGGAGCATTGTTTGCTGCAACGAGACTAATTTATGTTTAAAGTGGACGTTACTCACCCGGCCCCCCAGACCTGGACACCATAAAGCCAAACGCCCAGAAATAGTCCGTCATATACGGTAGCCATAGCGCTGCGCCCCAAGTCTCACTCCGTCCTCATCACTCGCCTCAATCTCTCGACAAACACCAAAACCTTGTCTCTGACGTGGGTCAGAAGGGGCAGGAACGTCCACCTCTCGTCGATGATGACCCCCAAGTACTTAATTTCCCTTTTATAGGAAATGCTGTCACCACCAAGACAGAGAATCGGATTTCGCGCAAGCCGACCCCTGAGGCGGATCATACAGGACTTGGCAGTAGACACTTGCAGACCGTTGTCCCTGGTCCACCCGTCCACGTGCAGAAGCGCCACATTTCCTTTTCGTTCCAGTTCTGCCCGACTGTCGGCGCTGACTTGCAACAGCACGTCATCGGCGTAGGCCACCATATGTACACCCTTAGCCTTGTAGCCCAGCAACTCATCCAGGACGATGTTCCAAAACCGTGGTCCCAAGACAGAGCCCTGGGGATATCTTCTTGTAACCAGTCTCTCCACGGTTCCAGGGTCCGACGACATCACCATTCGCCTCCTAAGGAAGTAGTCCCGAACTACCTCGTAAACGTTCTCCGGTACCCACGCTTGCCACAAACGTTTTAATGCCGCCGGCCAGGGCAAGTTATCGAATGCCGCCACTATGTTCATACCCACGCCGAGGACATATTTCTTTGTCGCTCCGGTGACCGCACGTCTCACCACGCACAGCGCGTCCACCGTCCCCAACCCCTTTTTAAAGCCAAATTGCCGCGGACTATGGCCGACGTTCGCCTCGTAGTGACTATCAATTTTTGACCATAATATTCTTTCTAGTAATTTCCCCAAGACCGGTAACAATGATATAATGCGGTATGACTTAGGCTTCGTAGACGGTTTCGATTTATCTTTTAAGAGCATAACCGCCACTGCTCGCTTCAACTGTTGGAAAACGTTTGTACTCAAAGCACATATTATAAAGATCCTTTAGCACGGCCGGTTTCACTGCCCAAAGCCGTCTGACGTAATTCGGATATATACCGTCATACCCCGGGGATTTCCCGCTCTTTATCGTGCTCACGGCGTCGTTAATGTCGCTCGTCCGTACCCACTCATCAAACACCTCCGTACAATACGTTTCCCGTTCAATAATTCCCACCTCACGCACGTCATACCGTATTAGGGCGCCAAGCACGCACTTCGCCGTTTCCGACCCGTTAGAAGTTACCGACGATATCAGATTTCGCACGGGCACTTTGTCCATCACAACCTTGTATACTAGGCTCCACGGATCATCGCGGTTCTTCTCGACGAACTTGGCCCAGCNTTACCGACGATATCAGATTTCGCACGGGCACTTTGTCCATCACAACCTTGTATACTAGGCTCCACGGATCATCGCGGTTCTTCTCGACGAACTTGGCCCAGCCGGCCCTTTTCGCAGCCCAGATATTCGCTTTATATTTACCGAGCGCCAGTAGTATAGCTATGTGCGTTCTAAATCAAAATCCCATAAGATTTAACATAGGGGTCCAAATTCACATTTTATCCCCACCACTACCTCCTTTCGAGGTTCTTTCCACGCCCACATTTTAAATTCAACCAATCAGAGCGCATCATTTCCAAGAACCTTTTTTTGGCGGGAAATTTGAATGAGACTATCTAGATCGATGGGCCTTATCACGATGACGTCATCATCGATACATCGAGGCCTTCATACATCCGAACATAAAGCGTTTGGTTCCGGCTGGGTGCGGGATGCGGGCGGATAGAGCGCGGGGTGCAGGGTTGCTCAATCAGAGCATAGCATTCTCCGAGAACCCTCTTGGCCAATGCCATATGTTTCATTGGAATCGCATTACTAGCTTTTATAATCTCCTGTTTCACTTTATCTTTCCGTTTGGTGGTTCTTGTTAGAGGCATGATTACTCAGACAGAGAGACAGACAGACAGACTGATGGATGTACAAATAGGTCAGTTCGGGCTGACATCCGGCTGTTAAATGAAGGATATTTTGATAAAGTAATGTTTTAAAAGGAATGATTATAGTTGAATGTGATGTTAACATGTTTTCCTATAACGTCCATTGTTTAGGTCTCTATCCTTATCGATAACCAGAAATCTATATTTATCCTTCCAGCATTCGGTACACATTAATTTGAATTTGTCAAATGGTAGATCCGTACCGACATGTTCATCATACACGTGTTGTAAATTTAAATTGTCTTGTTTGAATAGAATAATAAAATTGGTGTTATCTCGTATTAGATATTTAGGAATTCGTGCATAAGATTAACATATGTAGAAACTATCAACGCTAGTTCTAGACCAAAATCCCATAAGATTTAACATAGGGGTCCGAAATCACATTTTATCTCCATCACTAATACCTCGTGTGAGGTTCTGGCTACGTCCGTAGTTTTAATTCAGCCAATCAGAGCGCAGCATTCTTTAAGAGCCCTCCTTTTGTCGTGACATTTTGGATGAGACTATCTAGGTCGATGGACCTTATCATGATGACGTCATCATCGACACATCGAGACCTTGATATG